TGGTCAGCCTCTGACTACCAGTGCCAGGAAGCAACATCAGGGGAAGGCCTCAACCTCTATGTCCTCCTTTTCTTGGACCTCCAGAGGAACAGGTTGGCCTGGCCACCATATGAGACAGGATGCTGGACTAAATGGACCACCTGTCTGATCCAGCTGAGGTGTTCTTATTTATTTATTTATTTATTTACTTGAATGCTTGGGAAAACCTGAAGCAACTTCTTGCTGAGTGTCTACAGACTATGGTGGTGTTTGTTTATTCATTTGGACATTTATGCTCTGCTTTTCTTCCCAATGGGGACCCGAAGTGACCTAGCCATAGTTCTGACCAATGGGCAGCTGGCCATTGGGGTTACAGGGTTTTTGGGGGGTGATGGCAGCCCTGTTATGGGACTCTTTCTGTAGGCGTAGTCACCTGGCGCCATCACTAGTAACTCTGAGATGCCAAGTTAAGTTCATGCCTCGTTTGAGCTTTTAGAAGGGCTGGGGCTCAGCAGTAGAGCATCTGCCTGGTATACTGAAGATCCCAAGTTCAATCCCCGGCATCTCCAGTTGAAGGATCTGGCTGTAGGGGAGGTGAAAGACCCTGGAAAGCCGCTGCCAGTCTAAGAAGACAATACTGACTTTGATGGACTTAGGGTCTGATTCAATATAAGGCACCCTCATGTGCTCATTGTTTACCTGTCGTTTCTCTCGACTAGTTTTTATAGGGTTTTTATATGCTCCTTTGCATATAAAACAGCTCTTACTCTGATCTAGGGCTTATACATTGCCACCCCATATGGAAGAAAGAGACGAACACACGATTGGAATAAATAAAGGGCCACTTCATTAATTATTCACCCCAAGTAAGCAGCAAGAGCCAACCTAACAGCGCGGAATAGGTCAAGGCCAGGGGTCACCCCGACCCCTTCCTTGTCCATATTGGATGAGCCCACCTTGCCCCTGGCATGAGCCGTTCTTTCTGGCTTGGACCTGGCCAGCGTAGTAGGCTATCACCTGGAGCTCCACCAACTCAAGCTGCACAACTTGAGAGGAGGACCTATCTAGGCGGTACCACAGGCTGTCTGCATTCCCAGCCCAGAGCTGCACAACCCAAAGGCTGATCCTGACAGACCCCTTGTCCCCCCAAAAGTGGGGGTGCAAATGGTGCTCACAGATCCACTTTCCCTTTCCCCCCCACTAACCAAGTGACCAATTCTATTTACATGGCAGCACAAAAGCCAATTGTCCCACACCACAGAACACAGTGCAAGCTAGGCACAAAAAAACCCACCACCTACATAGAACCAATCAGTGAGAGTGAAAAATTCCTATCCACCCCCTAGAAACGGCGACCAACAAAAGCCTGCACTGCATACTGGGCGGGAGGGTGGGCTGAGCATGGGGTCAATACTGTGAAAGCGGAGGCAGAGCTGTCCACAGGACTCTGTCAGCTCCACCCCCTGCTGTGGTTCCTGAGAGTGGAAATGCTGCTCTGTCCTTCTCCTCCTCCTTCTCAGGTGGCAAAGGCGGCTCCCAGCTGCATTTGCAGCCAGGTAGAGCCGGATATTTGTTAAATCAAGCAAACAAATCCAGTCATAATGCTTGCAGGAAAATCCTTCAAAAGATGAGGATATCATTCTTCATACATTCAAGACATTTCTTTGTTCGTTTACTTAATTCACTCATCTCCCACCTTTCTCCCAGGTGGGACCTTAAGCCACTTACATTGTTCCCTCTCTCCTCCATTTTATCCGCACAACAACCTTGTAAGGTAGGTTAGGCTGAGAGACTGTGACTGACATTTTCTGCATCCAAATGTCTCCCAAGAACTCTTGCCTTCTGTGGGTTCCCCATTGCTGCTGCAGCTGCCAAAACAATGCAGTGGTGATGGGGCCTGGGTGTGACAGGTTTCCCCACAATTTTGGGGCCCTAATCCCTGGTGTTGCCCTCCCCTGTACCATTGTTTGGGGTTTTTTAAATTAGAAACAGCACTTGACCACTGTTACATTATTCAAATATATGTATAAGGTTTTCTGAATTCCCAGCTTTCCTTTTCTTAAAAGCAAAAGTTCCTAATTTCTTTCATTGTGAAATGTGTGTGAGAAATCTGTGTGAGAAAAGATGCTAGAGACTTTCTCTGGCTTTTTTTAAAATTGAAAACTGGGAGTTTGTGGACCCTGATGTGCGTATTATTGTAACACTATAGATTTATAATAATGTTCAATTGCTGATTCAAAGACAAATAACAAAATGTCCTCTAGTGTCAGGGGGAGGAAATGGTCACCACCAGGACAGGGTCATGGAAAATGGCTGCCATGTGTGGAGAAATCTGAATTTTTGCACCCATACAGCAGCCATCCAGGCTTTGCTAATCTTCCCCAAAATTTTGCAGCAAGGCAGGTTTAAGAAAGACTGGAGAAAAGCCAGGAAACTCTGGGAGGTGCATAAATGGTTGAAATTGTGGTTGAAATTGACACAGCGTTGCATGATCACACATCCCTTGTAGCTGCGGGCTGAGCCTGTCACTGCCCGATCAGATGGTACATGGCTGAGTTTATTTATTTATTAGATTTATACCCCACCCTCCCCAGCGGGCTCAGGGCGGCTACAACAGAGGCAATTGCCATAACAACAGTTAAAACAACATAAAAACAACCATTAAACAGTATAAAACAATCATTAAGTAAAGTGCAGTGCTCTTGATGTTAAATTTTTCTTAATCCAAGATGAGTTCCATTCATCAACCTAACCTGAGTTGGGGGGGGGGGGGGGTTGCTTTTTTTTTTGTTTCCCATGCACATAAATGAGGAATTGCACCTCTGCACTGAGGGTTCCCCATGGAGTATGCGGTTATGCGCATACTGCTTAGTGAGGGGGGGGGAAAAACAGCACCGAGTTGGGATGGAATGATCAGACCATCCTGATGGCATGAGAGTGTGCTTGAATGATCAGACAGGGGAAAGTCCATCTGTGGCTGGTCAGAACCAATTGGAGTTGGACTTTCTCCAGTGTCTTTTACCCCTGCTTCTGTGACGGAGCAGCACAGGTTGCTGATGACTGCGGGACCTTTCCCAGATGTTGCTGTCTGATCATGCCCTTTAGAGCCATCAGGCATTCGCAGATGAATCAGATCTAAAGGAACATCTGACTGCAGCCTTAGAAGGCTTTACTCTGCCTAGGAATACACACCGACAGTGGTCACACAACTCCTCACCGAGCCAAAGTTCTGTTGGGGGGAAACAGTTGCCTCCACCCCCATCCCAGATCATGGACTTCCATTATGTGGTACAAGTGTTCATGTAGGGTTGCCAGGTCCCCCCTGGCCACCAGAGGGGGATGGGGGGTAGGGTTGCCAGATCCAAGTTTGGAAACTGCTGGATATTTGGGGATTGAGGCTGGGGAGGACAGGGACTTCGACGGAGTACAATGCCCCAGAGTCCAACCTCCAAAGCCTCTGTTTCTCCATTGGAGCCAATCTCTTTAGCTTGGAAATGAGCTGTAAATCCAGGAGATCCCCAGGTCCCACCTGGAGGCTGTCATCCCTAGTTCCCAGCCCAGTATTTCTGACAGTCAAATGACTAATAGGACTGGGTTAAAGAGAATTATCATCTCCAAGTTCCTACACAATCCCTTCAAGTGAACGTTCATACACACTTATCAATGCACACAATACAAAACCTTTATTGGCATATAAAATCAGTAAGATAAGAACTTCATCAAGCTAAAATTGAATCTATAAATCTTAGAGCACACCAGTATTAAGAATAGTTTCTTGCTACCAAAATCTTAGACAAAAATTCAGTAACCTGTACAGTCACGTCTGGTGTCTTATCAGCGAGGAGAAACTTGATTGCATTATCAGAATTGATCATAGACAGTACGGGCTTTATCAAAAATAGTCGGAGATGTGAATGGAAGGGGGCAGCGTAGCAGAATATGATCTAAGGTATCGGGTTCTCTAAGTGAGCATTTGCAGATTCTGTCGCATTTCGGGATGCCTCTATATTTACCTGAGACCCAGGATGAGGGGAAAACATTGAATCTGGCCAGCATAAAGGCTCTGAGTTGCAGCAGGATCACCAAATTAGAGAAGTATTGGTCCATACTATTTGGTGCATATCTGAGGCCAAGGGAAAGGGGGGAACAAGTGCCCTTGGCACCAGCCTGGATTGTTTGGGCTTTGATGTCCCAAATTCTTTTACGAATCGTCCGGTATATAAAGATATCTTGATTTTCCAAGATGTCCAGGTCAATGCCAATTGAGTATATTTTAGAAGTTATAGCCTGTGACCGCTTGGATACATATGGGTCCATAGTAAGGAGTGCAATAAGGCTATTCTGAGGGGCACTAAAATGGATGTGGAGCCAATATGTACTAGTGGTGATCCATGCCCGCGAGTCTAACAGATGGAGACCCAGCTCAGCACAGACAGAATAACAGGTAACAGAGTTAGGTAGTCCAAGAATGCGTCGCATAAATTTGGTCAATCTCTTTATTAAAACTCCGAATCCACACAGGGATTCCATATAGTAAGCAAGAGACTACTGTGGCCTGGAAAATTCAAAGGGCGGCCGGGATGAACTGGTTTCCTTGTCGGTAATAAAATTGAGTGACAGCCGAAATCCTGTTTTTAACTAATAGAAGCAATTGGTTCCAATGAGAAGACCATTTTAAATTATAATGAAACAAAACACCCAAATACCTAAAGGATCTAACTTGCTCAATTTCTCTCCCATCAATTTTCCACAGGGTGCATTTCCACACCCTGGAGAAAACTAGGATTTTTGTTTTTTCATAGTTGATTATGAGAGAGTTCTGTTTACAATAGGAGGAAGACATCACTAGGGCACGTTTAAGTCCTATTCTAGTGGTAGAAAGAACCACAGCATCACCTGCATACAGTAAAATGGGTATAGGTAGAGAATTCAATTTGGGGGCATGCCCATCTATTGCTGCAAGATGATACACACTTATCTCAAATATATATCTCTATATACCTCTTCATTCTTGTACTTACCAACTGTGCAGAAGAGCAAAGCAGCAAAGCCCAGGAGAAGAAACTTGTTCATCTTGATCAATTGAGAGGGAATGTCCTTACAAATATAACAGAGCACCTGTGATGGGAGAGGCAACCAACTTGGCTTTGGAACAAGGACTCGTCCCAGCAGCCTTGGGATGTGGGCTGTTAAGAGTGAAGCATTTATTCTCATCAAAGCACTGGGGACAGCCAATGGAAGGATCAGGGAGGAGAGACACGCCTTGCCTTTGGAAAGATGAAGAGGAGGCATGCAGGCGGTGGCAGGAGAGTCAAGGTGCCAGAGAGTTAATAAGCAAATTCCATGATGTGAAGACATGAGAATCTACACCCACAGAAGAGCCTTCAGTTCTAATTGGCAGCCCTGGGTCACAGCCAGACTTCCCCATTTAGTGAGGCTGACACATTTCCGGCGGGGTTCCATAGGAGTTAATGAAAAATCATAACTGATAGGAATTTTATAACCCAGTTGCCACTCGTGTATGTTCAAGGGCATTCTCCTGTCTATGAATTGTCCAGTGAATAAGAATATTGTTGTATGTTCCAAATCTTTCAGACACCTCCCATAAATATAGCTTCCATGAGTTACCTCTGACTTCTTTTAAGTGCCTGGCTGTACTTAGTCTTGGAAGCTAAGGGGAAGGATTTTTACAGGGCATTCTGCACAGGATACAAGGTGAGGCCAGGGCTCAGTGGTGGAGCATCTGCTTTGCATGCAGAAGGTCCTGAGTTCAGTTATTTTTTTTACATCCTGCAGAGAGTCAGCATGGTGTAGTGGTTAAGAGTGGCAGACTCCAATCTGGAAGACCCAGTTTGGTTCCCCACTCCTCCTCTGCATGAAGCCTGTTGGGTGGGCCAGTCACAGTTCTCTCAGAACTCTCTCAGCCCCACCCACCTCACAAGGTGCCTGTTGAGGAGAAGAAGAGAAAGGTGATTTTATGTATTTATTTATTTTATTCTATTGATATCCCACCCTCCCCGCATAGCAGGCTCAGGGAGGTTCCATCAGTTTTAGTAAACAATATGCAATTGTAAGCTGCTATGATTAGGTGGAAGATAGAACCCAGTGGGTATCTGTGTCGGTCTGAAGCAGCAGAACGACGTTTGAGTCCAGTGGCACCTTTAAGACCAACAACGTTTTATTCCAGGTGTAAGCTTTCAAGTGCATGCACACTTTGTCAGACGCAATGGGGGGGAAAAGTGGAAGGTGCCTGTATTTTCCTGTCCAGTGCACAGATGGTAGTACATTAAATCTGGCCAGTGTAAACACTTGGAGATATCTTGGTTGGAACAGTTAATTTTGATAGATAACATGCATATTGCTGTGGGATCATTGGAGCTAAGTTGAATAGTAAGGAAGAACACATACTGCAGGCCTTAGCCAATGCATCCTGAAAGTCAATATACTTTATATGGTTTTTGATTACCAGATTAGCTTTACATAGACCGTGGAGGAGGGGAAAGACCAAAAATGGTCAATTAATCATCCATTGGGTTAAGCCAAGGGTCAGTCATGAGGCTGTAAAGAACAAAAGTCAGATTCTAAAACTACCAACTGCTAGCCAGGCCAAATTTATGAGTGATGTAAGAGCAGTTTCTGAGGGCCATAGAAGGGCCATAGAAGGTCCGCACCTAGGCACTTCAAAGATGGTTCTCAAGAATTTGTATCGAATTAATTCAACAGAAGGAGTAACTGCTTGCACCCAAACTGGAGCTGCACACAAAAGATGATTTGTAATCTTGGTAGTAAATAATTAAAGTGCCACTGGAATAGACTGTACTCTTAGGGTTAAAAAAATTATAATTTTACAATTGCTCCAAATGCTGTTTTGGCCTTAGCCAGGATTGATTAAAAATGCAATTTCCAACATACTGTGCCACTGAAAATAACCCCCAGATATCTTTATGACCAAACTTGTTCAGTTTTGATTCTCCTGTCACCCACCTATATAGTGGATGCTAGGCAGTCCCGAAGGAAATTGCTTTGACTTTATCAATATTTATAGACATTTCATTGTCAGGTCAATACATAATTAATGCCCATAAAAGTCTTTAGTCCCACCCTTGTTAATGAAATAATCATCATATCATCTGCATATACTAGTGACCAGTGTAGGAGCACGTACTCTTTCTGCCTGAATTTTTTTAGTTATATCACTTAAATACAAGTTAAATAACATGGGAGGCACCACACAGCCCTGTCAAACTCCTTTCTGCACCAGTATATCTGACATAAAATGACCAATCTGATTACAGCGTACTTGCATTGTTGTGTTATGGTGAGGTGACAAATAAAAGTAAAAGTCTAAGATCTATATTGTATCTTTGTATTTTAGACCAGAAGGCCCTAAATTTAATCTCCTGTGAAAAATGAGGTAGTCGGTGATGCAAAAGACTTAAGCCTGAGATGCTGGAGAGACACTTCCAGTCAGAGCAGACAGTACTGTCAATGACAGATCAATCATTCAATCATCTGATCGGGGGCAAGGCAGTGAGGCCTGGCAGCGGGGGACACAAGCACCTCCACCAGGTGAAGAAGAAGAAGAAGAGATTGGATTTATACACCGCCCTTCACTCGGAGTCTTAGAGCAGCTTACAAACTCCTTTCCCTTCCCCTCCCCACAACAGACACCCTGTCAGGTAGGCGGGGCTGGGAGAGCTCTTTCCAGAGCTGTCCTTGACAGAATAGCTCTGACAGAACTATGGCTTGCCCAAGGTCATCCAGCAGGTGCAAGTGGAAGAATGGGGAATCAAACCTGGTTCTTCCAGATTAGAGTCCACGCACTTAACAACTACACCAAACTGGGACACCAGGGGGGACACCCACCTCCACCTAGTTGGAAGCGACTGAGAGAGAGAGAGAGAGAGAGAGAGAGAGAGAGAGAGAGAGAGAGAGAGAGAGAGAGATAGACTGCCACTAGCCAGAGAGAGCAACTGAGAGAGAGAGAGAGAGAGAGAGAGAGAGAGAGAGAGAGAGAGAGAGAAATAGCATTCTAGAGGTTCAAAAACTGGAACAGAAACGCTGACCATGAGATGGATTGACTCTACAAGAGAAGCCACGACCCTCTGCTTGCAGGACCTGAGAAAGGCTGTTAATAATAGGACGTTTTGGAAGACATTAATGTATATGGTCGCCATAAGTCAGAAGTGACTTGACGGCACAAGACACACACAGCCTTTACGTCTCCTTTTCTTCCCTGACAATCAAACCACGGCTATAGTGGCTTCCTTTCTAGCTGCGGTGATTAAGAAAACAAATCTCCCTGAGTTTAATTAGTTTACTGCTGATAACTGTTGACCTTTTAAGTGTGTGTTGTTGGGTTTTTTAAATTTATTTTATTTTATCCTGTACAGTTGCTATGGCTTTTTTGCTAATGCAATAAATATTATTATTATTATTACGTCTCCTTTTTAAGTTTTTCCTTTTGCACAAAAAAAAGCAAAAAAGCAGCACATTTATTAAATTGTGCCAGAAATTGTGCCAGAAATTGCTTTGCTGTATCCCGTCACCATACTCCTTCCTAACCAGGCGGGGCAGCACAACTGGCTTTTTGCACATTTGCATTCTCGCACAGCTGGATTGAGTTCTGCTCCCTCACCGTCCTTGCTGCACAAGTTCTCTGCTCAGCAGTCGATTGTTTAAATAGGCAATTGGAGCCCTTGCAAATTGTATCAGGTATGAATAAATACCATTTCAATAAAACCCTGCCCTTCAGTGTTCATCTAAAGTTGCCTTGAGAGACACTGATGGCTGCCCATCAGTTTCATTGCGCATGCACAATTTTGCAAAATTCGGAAGCAAAGCCATTTGGCAGGCATTCGAGGCTCTTTGGCATGACATGAACCAAACAGATCAGGTGATCGTCTGGCAACACCTTCAAATATGGTAAGTTTGACTGTCAAATGTGTCCGTGGTGAAATTCACATCAACCAATTGGACCAAAGCCCTGACCATTATGCAAATGACATAGTGGAATGATAGCTTAATATCTGCTTTGATGGATGTAAATGCCATAGGAAGAAGCACTGATGAAGCAGCCAATACTGTCCCCGCTTAAAAAAAAAAGTTGATGACCACAGCACTGGCTATATTAGGCAGAAACCACACATCCCCATGTGCCTGTTGCAGTCCTCAGGCTGCCACTGCCTGGTTGTTCCCCCTCTTAGGAGAGCCCACCTGACTTCAACGAGAGAGCCTGTGTTTCTCTCCATTCTGATGCCCAGCTTATGGAACAGGATCCCGGAAGAGGTGAGGAAACACTGCCTCTGGAGGAAATTAGAAGGTACTGCAAGGTTACTCTATTTGCTAGGACTTTTAATGGGATATTGGATGGAGGCATTTTAGAGGGGCTTCTATGGGGTTGTGCGGAGTTTTATTGTATTCCGTATGTTTTTTAAAATTTGAATTTGTGAGCTGCTAGGAGCTATGGAAAATATAAATATTTGTATTAAATATTCGTATGAATGCATGAATCTGACAAAGATAAGCAGCTGTTACATGTAATGAGAAAGCTCAGGCTTTGCTTTATAACATGTGTTCCACGAATCATGGCTTGCGTGTCCCCAGGCCCGATGAAGAACACATGAGTGAAGTCCAAGTGAGGAAGAAAAAGCTAAGATATGTATTGCAATAAACAGAGAGATGCAGAGCTAAGCAAGAAGTTGCCCGCAGAAGCAAGCTGCTCTCTGCCCCAAACAGGGAGGACAGAGGGTTACGTACTCAAAATTACATAGATACAGGTAATGATACATAGAAGACCTCATTGGTTACAGGTAGAGGGGCATCATTTGAGTTGGCACAAATCCACTGATCGACCCCAGCTTGGGGTCACATTACATTTATTTGCAATTGTTTATTTGACAAAGAACACAGGGGTCTTGTCTAGAAATTATCAAGGACTTTTCATGTATACACAAAAGGAACATCCCAGATAGAGGTGTAAATCACTCAATAGCCCCAGGCCTCAATCAGACCTTTTGGTGCCTTTTACCATAACAAGGGTAGATCACCAAATGAAGCAAGGCATAGCTCTTTCTTCTGACAGCAGGCTGTAAAAATTATAAATCTTTCTCCAGAGGTATAGCAGGAAAAGCATTCAAAGTGGCTTTCATTTTCAAGCTTATACTCCTTCCTCTAAATCTTCTATAGCTCTTCTTTCAAGGCTTATTATCAGGGCAGAACAACAGTTACAGCCGGAGGTATAGATGAGAAAAGAATGTGTATCTACTGAGCTTAGATCTCAGCTTCCAGGTCTTTATCTTGTCAGCCTAATTTGTGCTGTAT